CACACACACACACACACACATGTACACAAACGCGCACACGTGTACATGACATACACACATATGCATACATGTACATACACACACATACATGTACGCACTTACACACACACACACAACACATGTAGGCTACACACATACACATATGTACGCACATACACACACATACACTTATGTACGCACATACACACACATACCTCATCAAACACATAGCCCCCACACACATACACTCACACAAATAACCCACAGACAGTATACACTCTTATCTCCTCACACTTCAAACGGATACACTAGAATTCACTTATGCGTACATTCACTTCCTCTTACATCAGGCACTCTCTGAAAATAAAGGTAAAACGCTTTTTTTAAAAACTCATCTTTCAAAGTTTAAAAACATAATTTCTAAAATAAAAATACACACACACACATAACACACACACACACACACACACACACACACACACACACCCACACACACACAAACAAAAGTCGGCCCCGGCAAAGAGACACACCATTAATATCCAACATTTATCGGTCCCGGCCAAAACCCCAGGGCGTCTGCAGCCAGTCAAAGAACGTCTTGTAATGGCGAGTCTTCGCCGACTGGCAGTGCCTTGGCCGCGTCATGCCTTTTTATTGGTGGTTCCTTTTTCTCCCTCCCCTTCCTCCCTTCCTTCCTCCCTCCCCCTCCTCCCTCCCCTCCTCCTCTCTACAGGTGAGTCGACCGGCGCCAACATCGATTGAGGTGTTGTGGAGTGGTCACAGAACTGTGTGTTTTGACGGGGGATACAGCCCCAACTCTCTTTTTTCTTCTTTTTTTTGTAAGTGTTTTACGGTGCTCGCAACTGCATTAGGTCATATGAGCGCGCGGGACACATAAACCATTTTCAGTTGATAGGAAATTTTGAATTTTGCCCCGGAGGCGGCCGAGGCTTTCTCTATTCGATTTTGGACCACCAGGGGATCTTTAACGTGCGCAACTTGCATACGGTACCTCCGAGATTTTTCGTCCTTGTCCGAGAAGGCTAGGTGTAGATCTTTCCTGCCAGAAAATAAGGGGTGTGGCTGAAAGAAAGCAGTAAGAAAGAGCAAAAGAGTCGCAGTAGAAAGGCTACAGAAAGAGTCGGGAGCCCAAAGGATGGGGCAAAGGAGGTGAGGGGGTGGGGGCAGAAAGTGGAGACGACAGCAGACGACAGAACATTGCTAGAGAGAGAAAAGGTAAAAGGAGACCATTTTAGAGAAGAAAATTTTCCG